ACAGCTATTTTTACCTACGTGTTCGCATGTATGCATACACACATGGCCAGGGTGTGAGGGTCGTACCAGAGAAGCATGTCATACTCACCATCCAAAACAGCATCCAATCAAATGTCTATAATAAGAAGTATTTTCAACATTTTTGTCTTGATACCTCCTAATACAGCTTAAGAAAATGTACCATCTGAACAGAACCCCAAAAATCACACACCACCTTAGTAATATGAGATATGAAATTGGGTATGGAGGTGCACATCTGTTGTTAAGAGCCACAGCCAAGTAATATGATGCATGGCATTTTTGGTTGAAAGGTGACGCCAGCTAGCCATTGAGATGATATGATTATGTTAAGATTTACATTCATATGGATATTGGACTCCTGCTGTCCACCTCGGCCTGCTATGGGACTCCTGGAGAGTTCCCATTGGTTGGGGAAGTGCGGTAGGAGGGATTTCCGGAGGCGGAACTTCCTCTTAGGGTCTGGGAGAACAGGACGTGGGTTGCTGGGCACTCTTCCCCGGGCATACAGGGCATTGGCGGCAGTTTCAAAAAATAAAATTTGTTTCTGCTTGAGTGGCTCGTGATTTTGTGCCTAGCCAGACTGCGGCAATCTGTAATCGCAGAGACGCAAGAGGCTGAGGCAGAAAGATAGCAAGTTCAAGTTCAAGGCCAGCTCTGGCAAATTAGCAAGACCCTGACTCAAAAATTAAAAATCTAGGGATGTAGCTCAGTGGTAGCGCATGCCTGGGTTCAATCCTCAGTACCGCCATTAACCAACATGGTCTAGAATTTTGAATCACTGTCAACAGTGATTTCTCACTCAGCCACTACTACTTTTGATTTGGGAATAACACGGATGTGTTGTGGCCAGAAACTTACCTTCAACACTGCATTAGAATTTATGAATAAAAAAAATTCCAAGATGGAAGGAACTGTTTGCCCTTCTGTTTGTCYACTTACAAACAACACATTTCTAGGCGTGATGATCTGATCCCTCAGAAAGTGCAAGCCCAACAAATGACATAACTGGACTCGTTCCTTTATGGTGTTCAAAGCTGTACTTTCATTGTATATATGTGAAGTTCAAATCTAACATCAGAAGCTTGCGAGCTGTACACATGATGACCACTGAGGTTCTCCTGAGTCCCTTGAACACAGCCACTCTGGTCCTGGGCTCAGRTCAGACACCATTGGCTACTTGCTCCTCTTCATGTGTGAAAGCAGACTGGATGGGAAATTTGCAGACACACAACGGAGTGCAAACAGGTACAGGGATGCAAACCCGCAGCCACACAGTGATAAACTGCAAACATGCAGAGCTGGGAAGAACCCGCCAAGAAGGTGACAGCCTGACATGTCAGAGATGCAGGGAAATCTTGTTAGAAAACCCTCAGAATATAATCACCTTTTAAATTTGATTGTACTTTATACCTTTTTAGCAGAAAAGCTAGAATTCTAAATAAAATCTATAATGATAGGTCCATACCTCTTCCCCATCACTACCCACAAAGCTACTCCATTTGGAACTCCCTTCGTGCTGGGGGAGCCAGTCCTTCRAAGAGGGGAGGGGAGGATAGGGGTTTCTGGACCACAGCTCATTTTGCAGACAGGACAGTATCTGCACTCGGTGGCTCTCCAAGCGCGTTAAGGACACGGTGGCAGGGCAATAACATGGTGCCTTGCGGCAGCRCTGGGCTGCCAGAGACCTGTGAGAAAGTAACACATCCCGTGGGGATGGCAGGGTAATTTAATCAGCAGCGCTTCAGCACCGCAGAACGCGAGGGCAGGGAAATAATGAAGTCAGCACGTCCCGGAGCTCCTCTGTGCAGCCTGAGGGGTAGACACGACCCGGGGGGGCTGGCTTCTCGCCCACGGCACTGCGATGACAGTGGCAGCCAGAGAGCCCTGTGCTACGGGAGTCCTGGGGAGTCCTGGGCAGCATGGGATGCGAGCAGCAAGCCTGGCTTGCGCCCCCTAGAGGCCAGTGGCACTGCCCCCTTCAGTTGTGTCAGAAATGTCTCTGGACGTTGCCAAATGTCCCCTGGGAGAAAAATTGCCGGGTTGAGAAACCACTGCCCTAGATCTACTGGAAAACTGAGTTGTGAATATGTGAGCCACTTGCTTCTGAGATTCAGGGTCTGAAAAAGATAAGGGGTTGAAGCCCCTCCACCCGCAATGTTCTGTAGTAATCAGGAAGAAAAGAGGGAAAAGGTGTCAGAAATACACAATTCACCACATGTGAACGATAAATGACCAATCAAACATGGGATGGAGTTTACCTCATAGAAATTAAATACAAATAAATAGCACTTGTGTGTTTTTAACTCATGAACAAAGACAGAAGCAAAAAGTAAATATTTGCAACTCATTTTTCAGTATATGAGTTTTGATCCTTATATAGAAGGACAAATATCATGATTAAAAAATTTAAAATACAAATGAGAACACTGAGATTCATTAGCAAAGAGTTTAAAAATGGTAATACAGGGTTGTCAGAGGCATGGCAATGGTACCCCTGGCACTCCGGGTAAAGTAAATTGTGGCAATGGTTTGATACCCATGTCTGCACAAGGGTCGTCACCAATGCACTATCTGTAGTAGCAAAAGCGACAACAGACCTGGGACATGTTAGCTAATGTGCTCATCAGTAGGGAATGAAGAACAGTACTTCAGATCCATGAAAAAGGCATGTGGCCACGGAGAAGAATCACATAGGCACATATGCAACACAAAAACACCCTCCATGTTGTCTAGAAAGGTCCTGGAAGAGAAAAATAGCTGGTGCTTATCTCTAGGTTATAGGACTTCAGGTTCTTCTTTCTGCCTTTGGTTTGTCTGCATTATCTGAAGCTTTGTGTCTGTAGCAGGAGTTTCTACTCATAATAAATAAATAAATAAATAATGAGCACTCTGTACTCACCGCCCTCCCAACCCCAGGAGCCTGTCTGTCCCCAGCCCCGCCTTTCACCTGTAGTGCTCCAGGATGGGCTGCAGGCCTGGACTTCTTGCCAAGCAGTGGGTCCCTGCTCAGACACCTCACCGCTGGCCTGGGAGAAGCAGACGTCATTCCATGTTACAGATGGCGGCCTGAGACTCAGAAGAGGACAGAAGACTGTCCAAGGCTGCACCATTAATAAGCAGTAGTTACTGACTGTGAGGCACTGATCTTTCCAGACGACAAAGAGTCTGCAAACCCTGGGAAAATCTGCTCAGACATCTCACAAACTGAGCCACTGTTCCCCACAGTTCCCTGGGAGCAGACACCAACYGAGGCACTTCCAGGAAGAAGCTCCCGAGTCAGCCTTTGAAAGATGCGGAGGGGCGCAATCACTGCTCCGAAAGCCTCTGCTTTTCCAAGAACTCAGGAGCTCTGTGGTGGCCAGGCCTTCCTCTGACATTTCTATCTCAGAGCCTCTCTACCCCACCACAAGCTTCTCACACATCTGTACAGCTCTAGCAACAAGCATGGCAAACAGAAGACTTAGCACTGAGGGAAATACCTAGCACTGCCCAATCACCTTTGCCTAAAGCACTCAATATTTGATAATATTTTTCTCAACGAAAGGTGTTTTCTCTTTCCTAAACTGCCAACACGTATCATGTGCTCTGCTAGGCTCTGGAACACGCAGCTAAGACAAGGTCCCTGTGTGAGAAGCCTTGATCCAAGAAACCATGAGCAAAGCAGAGGAGCAGTGTGGGCTGGGCCAGGAGCCTGGGCCACGCCAGGTCTCTGCTGCGGCTCACCCTGCGCCTGCTGTCAATCTCCAAAACAGTGCACACCTCCCACTGATTTTTAAGCACAAAAAAATCATACTCCTCATCTAAATGAAAATGACCTTTGAGCTATCAACCTAATGTGGACATGGGAGCCACCACTTCCTCCTCTGGCCTGGACAACTGAAAGCCATAGGCTCTGGGGGCAGATGGCGAGCTTGGTCAGCCCTGGAGCTGGCAGGGGTGCCGGGAAGCACACAGGACCAGAACCAGAGACGAGCTCCAGTGTGGGTCAGCATGAAGTCTCAGTGGGGACTCGAGGTCRTTTCACCTTATTTCCTCATCCACGAGGAGGAAGCACATGTCCTACCGATAGCTGCAGCATCTGTGTGACAGCAGTAACACAAAGAGGTGCTGTGTTTAGTGCAAAGTTGGGGAGGACCGGCAGGTGGACACAGGCCGGCCTCTGATGCAGCTGTCCACTGCTCCACAGCACGCTGAGCACGAAGGACAGGCTGCCAGCAGCGGCAACCAAGGGAAGACTGGCCCTCAGACGCCCATGGAGCTGCCATAAGGTGCGGGGTAAGATGCTCAGGTATGCCTCGGTTCTCTCAGAGCTTGCTTCAGCACCACAGGAAACCCAGAGAATCGGAAAAGTCCAACGCCAACAGAACCGATTTGTTAGGATCTAACWCTGAAAAACAACTGCTGGCAGTTTACCCTGCAGGAAAACTCACTGAGGAGCAAAGATCCCTTAGGGAAGGTAAATGTAAGAGATACAGTGGGGGGCTAAAAGAAATGACCACTACATGCTGCAGAAACATCTAGAAGGAGAACGTGGCCCCCTAAAAAAAAAAAAAAAAAACACTCCACTGGGAAAAAAAACTGTTGGAAGCAGGTCATTAGCACCTGCTCCCAGATGAACCCAAACAGCCAAAAAAAGGGGCAAAAAGACCTTGCCCAAGCTGGGGTGAGTGAAGCAGCTGAGAAGAGGTGTGTGCTAACAGGCCTCCTGAACTCTCAGGCAGGATGTTCAAGGAGCGTGATGCTTTTACCATAAGGCCAAATACTCCAGGCCTTGAGTCAGAGACACTGACTTTAAGCACACAGATCCAGGACACGCCAGCCACCTGCGTGTGTGGCACTCTCAACTGTGAGAACCAAACACATCTCTCACTGAGGACAAATGTAAGAAACTCTCAAATGCTTTCTACAGTCATGTTTAACTAAAAAGAACAAATAAAAAATAAATTAAAAAAAGAAACTCTCACAACACTCTCAGAAAGTTGGATTTTCTTCTCCAAAAATCATAGGAAAACTGAACATTTATACCTGCTACAAAAACGCTGAAGCAGTAAACAGCTGTGTGCCCAGGAATGGCCTCAGCACAGGGCTTCTGTGACAGGAGAGGGGAGGAGGCCCCCTTGTGCCACACTGAGCAGATCCCAGTCCTTCGACAGCGATGCAGGAAGGGAGAAGGACCGCCTCTGGACACGTCACCACCGTGGCTGGAACAGTCCTAAGGCAGATGGCACATGGAAACCCAGAACAGGGCCCAGGGCCCTCAGGGCCACTGCTGGCAGCGCTGCCCGAGGTTAGAACGCAGCAGTTCGGAGTGTTCAGATGATTTTAAAAGCCAGGATATGGTTCCTCCGTTGTATCTGACACCCACTCTCAAAGACWTTGTCAAAACCAAAAATAACTCCCTAGAGAGAAGATCCACATTCCAAGGGACAAGCCATTTTATCTGGGTGAAGGGACAATTTAAGTCGTGAAACTCTAGGACCCGAGGACAACAACAAAAATAATTTCTTTGAATATATTCAACTAGAATGGTAAGGCATTTTCCTCCATAAACACTATGGTTTTCCCAGTATTCCAAAGGAATCTAATAAATAATTTTACAGAGAAGAGCCCAGATCAAAATGGAAGTGAACACCCGGAGCCTGATGGACACAAGCCACAGGCCCCTGTGTGGGTGCCGAGATGAGTCTCCAGGGAGGCCGACACCACCCCCAGCTTAGCCCGCGGTTCTTTCCTGCCTGGGCCCAGCCCGAGGTTCCAGTCCGCTTCATAGAAAAGCTCTGCCAGGTGCAGCCCGATGGTGGGCAGCGCCCGTGGACAGCACAGGAAGTGGTCACAGTCAAAATGTCCCCATGCCACCTTGTCTCCTTGCCCTGGACTGGCTGGGACATTTAAGTCTGGCCCTGGGTGGCGCATCCTCCAGCAGTGTCTCAGGGCCCAGGCTGCAGCAGCCGTCACGCAGGGAAGAGCTCCGGTGGGCTCTCTCCGTAGCAGTACTTGGCCACGGGGTCCCGGTAGGTGTTCTCGTGCTGCACACTCTGTGGGCAAAAGGGGGACAGGCACAGGGTGAGAGGCAGAGTGGGCAGGAGCAGGCGGCCAGCAGGCTCTCCCCGCAGGAGGCCGGCCCAAGCCATCTCCAGGGTGTCTSACTGGAGGCTCCCAGGACCCTCTGAACAAGGAAGGAACTCAGCACTGAGTTTTCAGAACTTTGTTTTCATACAAGCAACTTGAGTTTTAGGCAGGTTCATTAAGTAGCCCATGACCGAAGCGACTGAAGTATTAATCCAATTTAAGTAGGTATCAATCCAACTTGACAGCCATACAGCCAAACCTCCTCTTTGTTGGGATGTTGTTATCAAACTGAACTGAAAGGCAATTGGGAAATCTCCATTTATAATAAAATGAAACTCAAAAAGCAGAGTAGCTTTGTACCAGTGGTCCACTTCACCTTATGAATACAGCCCTCCTTGCTCTGAAGCTCATTTTAAAAGGGACATTTCCCCCCCCTCTTTTCCCTCTCCCCTCCCTAACAGGATTGGGGAGACAGGGTTATCTTTTCTTCTATACCTTAGGCCTAGCTGTCTGTCCTTGAGCACACACCCACCACAGGAAGATCCAGGAAGTGACTATCTCCCAAATTAACAAGTGAATCTCCACATCATCAGGGCACCTAGGACCCTCCCCACTGGGCACACCTGGAATGTAGGCTTTGAATCCTCTTTAAAACACCCTCTGCTCTCCCTGACCACAGAACCACAGCCTCTAGGAGAGGGGTCCCTTGTGCTTCTCCTTTGCTAGCATATGAACCTTCCTTTTCCTTTTTCTAAAACTGTGTCCTCCTTATTAAATTGGCATCAGGGACAAGGACTGAGCTTTCGCTAAAGCTTCACTGAAGATTGGAAATACTTCTGGGTTTTATCAGTTATGGAAAGAAAATGCTTGGCCTCTTCTTGCATTTCTCGGAATGAGAACAATGTGAATCAAAGTCCTGCATCCAGCCTTCCTCTTTAAAGCCCACTCAAGCGGAAAGCTCCTCAGGCAAAACAAGGCCACCAGGAACTTCTTAATGCTCTCAAATGCTCCTTCCACCCTGGAACACTTGCCGTGCTCTCAGAGCAGACCAGAGACATCAGAAGGGGCATAAAATCAAAAGGTGGGCCACAGAAGCCTGGCAAAGGGCACAAGAGTTCCAGATCATGGCGAATGAGCTGTACCTCAGGGAAGCCAGTGAAATCTTGGTGGCACATGATGGAAGGCAGGGGTGTGCATGTAACGTGCACACCTGGCGATTTCAAAGCTGAGGGCAGAGTGCGGAGAGCCAAGGGCCTTCAGACCTCTCGGTGACAGGTGCACTCTGTGTGAGGAACAGACAATCCCGGTGGTCCACTCTCAGAACAGTACTCAGCTTCAAATGTAAAGTGACTTGGGATGCAGGAAAGGCAGCTGGCCAGGGGAGCAGGGTGGAAAGTTACAAGCAGTCCACCAGAGTGTCAAAACTCACAGCCCCTGACAAACAGGAGGTGAGAAGGAAGGGGCCCACCTGGCCCTGACCAACAGAGATAAACTGTGAAATTGCCAAAAGCCACTCAGCCCAGGGGACTTCACCAGAGGAGAACACAAGGAGGTGGGACAACTAAGACACATTCCTTTAAATAACCCAATAGGAGCGGGTAAGACCTAGGTGACTTGGGGAAGACAGTACGGCCAATGAGGAGCTGGGAGAGGGGATAAAACACTGGTCCTACCCAACCTGGGGGTCCCTGAGCACCGAGTGGGCACTGAATCTTGCAAGACCATCATTAAAGCCTCACTCTTTGCTGATCCTGTGTCTCTTAGACAGGTGAGCATGTCTCTTACAACCCGGGAGCTTGTCCTGGAGGAGATGCGTCCCACCCAACTTTGGGTGGCCTGCTCTGCCCAGATGTCCCGTTCCCCCCAGTGAGAGCAACATGGGTTTCCTTGGCTGAGGCAGGAAACTGGACCAGGAGTGCTGCTCCAGTGGTTGGGAATTTTCGGAGGTTGAATATGTGTGACTGAAACACACCCTGGGCACTTCGCAGAGCCCTACTCTTGGTTCCGGACGCCTGGAGACTGACTGAGCTCAGTTCATGCAGGAAACTCCATTGAGGGGCTGAGCACGTGTGTGGCCCAGGGAGCGCAAGGAATCCCCGGTGAGGGGGACTGAGCACACGGGCACTGGGAGGTTGAGTCCACGAGGTGAAACTCGGTTACAGGAACCTAGCAAGAATGGGGAATAAAAACTCTAGGCCCAGGGAAAGGGAAGGCAAGTGGAAAGATCCCACCTGTACCCATCTTCTTTAAGAACATTTAAGCACTCATGGACCCCGCATTCTTTACTGTTTTGTTCTGACCGGTCTTGTTCTGTCTCACAGAGTTTCCAGCTCTGCCTTTCTTTTGTGCTATTTTTATATGGACGCCAGGTACTTATTCAAGAGTTAACTCTCAAGTTCAATAGAAAAGGAAAGAAATCTTCTCCCTTAAAAAGTCCCAGGCACGGGAGTGGGGGCTGGGGCTGGGGCTGGGGCTCCGTGGTAGAGCGCTTGCCTAGCATGTGTGAGGCCCTGGGTTTGATCTCTAGCACCACATATAAATAAAATAAAGGTCCGTTGACAACTAAAAATATATTCTTAAAAAGTCCTAGGCAGGGAAAATATACAGTGGCGATAGTGGGAGTGAATCTGTCCTGTAGAGGACGAGTGGCCAGCTTGACCGCTCAYGTCAGCGTCCACCATGGCTGTCAGAGTCCATTCCTCAAGTTCCCAATGGCACATGCCCTTTCCATGTCGGGGGTCATACTAAGAAATCTGTGACAGGCTCTACTTTAATTTCTAAAGGTCAATTTACATTGGTAAGAATGAAGGGTCTTTGAAATTACTAACCTGGACTTTTTTCTAGTTGGCCAGGCAATCAACAAAACATTAGTTTCTATAAAATGTTTAAAGTGCAATGTTCATTACTTTAAGGATTTTTATTTGGCAGGAATAATTGATTTAAAGTGTTAACTGGACTTGTCTGATACCTTGTTTTTTATGGTTAAAAATGGGTAAATTAGATTCAATCTAAGTGGGACAACATTTATGAATGTGTTTGTTAGAGGAAACATCTGATTAATTTGCAAACTTAAAAACATCGACTGATAAGTTTAAATTTAAGTGCTGGTGACTTCTTGAATTCCAGAAGTTGACATATATTTGGGTCTGTTAAATATCTTTATAAGTTGGGAAATGGAAAAACAGTCTTAAAGTTGCTTTTCTGGGCCTAGCAAGGTTGCTAAGAGTTAAGATTCTAATAGGTGTAATTCTATATGTTAGGAATACAAAAAGTTTCAGCTATGTTTTCATTAAAGTATTGTAAATAAAGTATTTAATCTTATTTAAAAAAAAAGGACTAATTTGTCTGAATTCAGAAATCTCATAAATTTGTCTAATTTCAGAATGTAAATTTAAGAAAGAGTCAACAACTGGAAGAAGGGATACAAAAAGTTACAGGTATGGAAATGTATGTTTTTGAACAAGAAGTATTTTGTATGATAAAGTAGTATTTTTGTGCTGAAGTCTATGTGAAAGCAAAGACAAAGCTAAGAATGTAAACAAGCTGTAGAATGTCTAAGTTGCAAAAGGTTTGTGGAAGGTAACTCTCAAAAAGTTTATGCACGTGATTAAGTTGACTATGAGTAGTCCAGTCAGAAAAAAATATTTAAAGGCTTTTCTAAGGTCAATTTAAAGGCACAGATATGAAACAAAGTTTAAAACATTGAATTGTTCTTTTCCATCAAGAGAATTTGTGTCTGTTAGGTTTTATTACTAAAGGAAAGCAAGTCTGAAAGGAATTAGAATTTGTACCTGTTTTAAAGTCTTTTAAATGATTACTTCGTAACTGGCTAAATAAACAACTATTCTCTTTTATACACTATATTTGATATAAAAGGGTCACACTCCCATTTAAAAACCTGACTTATATCTGTTTGCTTTGGTGAAGTCTATTTCTAATCATTAACAGTGTTTTCTAAATGTAAAAGAGATCTAAGTGTAGCTTAGAGAAGCACTTTACCAAGCTTATGTCCTCCAAACTAAAATTGTCTGTAGCAATAGTCTCCTTCAGATTTATGTCATTTAGTATTCTGGATATGGGTAACCCATTATCAATAAGTTATATACAGAATTTTCTGTTACCTTTTAGAATAAGATAGAAATTTAAATGTACTTTTGGAAGACAATCAGGAGAGTCTAAACTTGTTTAAAGGCTGACAATGTGGATGCAGTTTACCACTTTTCCCTCAAAAAGAAAGTCAAAAGCTCTCTTAGCTTCTGCTTTGATCCATATTTTAGATGTCATATTATAGTGCATTGACTGATGCTCATATAGACTCAGGAAACAACATATGAGAACTCTGTAAAATTATATTTAAGGCAGAGGCAAGATCAATTTCAGAAATAAAACACTTTACCTAAGATTAGTCAAGACCCCTGCCTCACCTGAGAGAAGGCTCTGCCTCTCACCTTACTTCATGTTAGGATGACTCCAAGAAGGCTAGCTTTAAAAACTCATTTGAAAAAACATAACCATGAGATGGGGACATAGATTAGTTGGCAGAGTGCTTTCCTCACATGCACAAGACCTTGGGTTCAATCCCCAGCACCACAAAAAAAAAATAATAATAATAATTAAAAATAAATGTGGGTAAATGACAGAAATCAATAAGAGGAAAGGTAGCAGGGGTGGGGAGAGGGAAGGGAAAGGAGAGGTACTGGGATCTGAATTAGAACAAGATATGCTCCATGCTTGTATAATTACATCAAAATGGATTCTGTCATATATAACTAAAAAGAATCAATAAAAATAATTAAAAAATAGTTGAGATCAAAAAACATATTTTTGTTGTAAAGATTACTGTAATCTCAAAATAAACAAGAGACATAATTCAAAACTAAGTAAAGGTTTGGGTGAATTATAAAAGGTATACAACGTCTTAAAAGTTTTAAAGTAAAATTGTAAAGGATCTCATATATGATTGATTTGATAAATTTATGGATCTTTCTGGAGGCAAATAGATACAAAAGATATTAGTGTTATTATAGAAATGATATTTATTRGTTCAAAGCTATTATGCTTACTGAATGTTTTTGTTCTTTTTTAAAAATTTTTTAAAAATTTTCCTTTTGTGCTTGTTGCCTGTTGGTATTTGCAGAGCTACTTCTTCTATTAGAACAGCCTGAGTTAATCTGAAACAATAAACCATTACCTACAGGACAGACAGGCTATAAGGCTAACTTCCAGTATTAATACTGACTCCAATTAAAATTATAGACATGTAAGTTAAAACCCACCACTCCCACTTGAAGACTGGTGAAACTGGCCTGATGAATTTTTAAAACCAAAAACATGGACACCAAAGTCAAGAAAGTAAAAGGACCCAGGAAAAGGCAATCAATATTTTGGCCCTTGCTGTCTAAGATGAGCAAGACCCAGGAATGATGAGACCCCTCTAAGATCACCTGCTCTCCTGATCAGAGGAATCAAGAGGACCCTGGAGAACAGGAAGCCGTTTAGTGCACACTCTGCCAAGAGGAAGGTCACTCGAAAGGGAAATGCCCTGATGTTACCAAGGGAAGCCAACTGTGGTCAGTAAGATCCTGAGCCATCCTGGGAGATAGTACAACTGGGAGAGGAAAACCAAAGAAGCCAAGAGGTTTTTCATATGTTCCCAAGAATGGTCTCTGGAATTTCAACTGATTCTAAAAGTAGATAAGAACAAGGTCAATTTTGACCAACTGGTCTTAAATACCTGCCAGCACAGCTGTGCTTGGACATTTTAAAGAAAAGACAATGGTTAACTAGAGATGTACATTTGTGTCAGTCCTTCCAAAATTAAGTAAAACTGAGAGGTTATAAAGGAAGAGTTTTTATACAAGCGTGCCTGATGAATATCACAAACAGCTCTACCTGAGTCATAAGTCTGTTCTGAGTCAATTTAAGACAGACAAGTCTTTATAACCTCCTACACAGGTGACTTAATCTGTGTTTGTTGGTGGTGGTAGTATGATTATCTAGCCCTAATATTTATTATGAGCTGCTTAATGAGCTCCCCAACTTGGGAAAAAGCTACAGAATTCTCTACCATGGAAACTAAAGGCCAATTTCTAAGAAAATATATGCTGGCCRTAGCCTGTACTTAATCATCACTCAAGTTAAAGGGACTCCTTGCTCAGACTCCTCCTCCAGGATTCAAAAGTTATCACTTCCACTTCCAGCCTTATGACTTGGTTTTAGCCATGACCAAGAAAGAAGACAAGTTTCCACCCATCTGTAAAGGAACTTATCGGTGCTCCTGATGCCTGGGACAGCTGTCCGAACTACTAAAAGGGGTGAACCTATTTCCATGGGTGGTTTCCACCTCAAAAAGTAAATATGACTAAGATAGGTGACAATACCAAAGGGTACAGGAACAAAAATGAAAACRAGACCAAAAGATGGAAAAAGAAAAAAGGGGGGATTGATGAGAAATAGAAAGTCTGGCTGTCCATTTTCAGAACATGTTCAGCTCCAAATATAAAGTGACTTAGGATGCAGGAAAGGCAGCTGGCCAGGGGAGCAGGATGGAAAGTTACAAGCAGTTAACACCAAAGTGTCAAAACTCACAGCCCCTGACAAACAGGAGGTGAGAAGGAAGGGGCCCACCTGGCCCTGACCAACAGAGATAAACTGTGAAATTGCCAAAAGGCACTCAGCCAAGGGGAATGTCCCACTACAAGAGAACAGAGAGAGGTGGGACAACTAACAGACACAATCCTTTAAAAAACCCAACAGGAGCGGGAAAAACCTAGGTGACTTGGGGAAGATTGTGCACCCCAGAGTACTCAGCCAATGAGGAGCTGGGAGAGGGGATAAAACACTGGTTGTACTCAACAGTAAAGCCTTGCTCTTTGCTGTTCCTGTGACTCTTGGACAGGTGAGCGTGCTTCTCATGCTATTTAACAGCCAAAGAACAAAGCACACCAATACACATTGAGAGCCTGACAACTGACTGGTGTGTTCCTGTATCAAACACTTACCTGCCCTGGCCCCTTGAATCCTAAAACAAACCACAACTCTGTCACAGTACAAATCACTGCTCACTCTAAAGTGGAGGGACTGCTGGAAAACCGGAGTTGAATCTCATTCAAAGACAAGAAGAAAAATCTCTCTTAATAGTTGGACTAAGAAGACTGCACCCAGACTTTAAAAACCAATTTTATGCTTCCATTTAAAGTGCAAACATAAATGGATGGCATTGGAGAAGATAATGCTAAGTGAAGTCAGCCAATCTCTAAAAAACAAATGCCAAATGTTTTCTCTGATACAAGGAGGTTGACTCATAGTGGGTAGGGAGGGAGAGCATGGGAGGAAGGATCAGATGAATTCTAGATAGGGAAGAGGGGTGGGAGGGAATGGGGGGGGGCAGGAGATTAGCAAGGATGGTGGAATGTGATGGACATCATATCCAAAGTACATGTATGCAGACTTAAATTGGATGTCAATATACTTTATATACAAACAAAGATATGAAAAATTGTGGTATATATGTGTATTTAAAATTATAATGCAAAAAAACACAAAGCACATGTGAAAAGGCATAAATTGGCATGAACATACTTTATATACCAAGATACAAAAAATTGTGCTATATGTGTAATAAGAAATGTAAAGCATTCCACTGCTGTCATGTATTTAAAAAATAAAATAAATAAAAGATATTTTTTTTAAAAAAGCRCAAACATGCCCAGCAGACAGGAGACGTGCAAGGTGACTGGGCCTTGAGCTAATATAAAGGCTTCACTTTTCCCAACTTGGGTCCATCTGGTGCTGACTCTGTAAACACTGTCATTACACCAGACAGAGTGCAGTGTGGAAGGCTTCCTATGAACCTTCTCCACCATCACTCCACCCCATGTACATTTGCTAGTTTTCTCCAGCTGCAGACTCTCACCCGCCACACCCGCCACCCCCGCCAGTACAGATGGCGGCTCCTGACCTGGGAAGAGGTCCTRCACTTAGCCAAGCACAGTTCAAAGTGATCTTCCACTGCCATGAAGAGGTTCTGGAATGCCACCGCTGCCCGGTTGAGGAAGCGCTCCAGGAGAAGTTGCTACAGAAACAAAAGTCAGTACCTGTAATAATTCCACAGCGAGCAAGCACAGGTTAATAAGACATAGAGACAGAGGGGGCCCAGTCCCTTACTCACTAGGCCTCTGATTAGCAACACATTGGGCCTTTCTGCAGGGGCAGGGGAGCCTTCAGTCCCTGGGAACCAGCTCCTCTCTCTGCAGGCAAAGCCTACTGCACAGCAGTGATTTCTGATCCCACAAAGTTCCTTTCTAAGTTCTATAATCAGCAGAACCTCAGAAGAGCCTCATGGTCACCCTGAAATAAAGGATGACAGACAGGGAGGCCTGGAGCCACAGCTGCTCTACCTTGTTGGGCTGCAGGCAGCAGGACACACAGTGCTCATAGGCACTGCAGCAGCCGTTGGCCAGGCAGCCGTCGCAGCAGTACTGCTTTGTGCTGGGGACGCTGACATCGCAGCAGCCGTTGGTCAGCAGATCCTTCCGTTCACAGACGTACCCTGCAAGTCAGAGAGGAGTCTGAGCATGGAGCCAGCAGTGAGCACGGAGCAGTGTGAGGACGGACATGGACACAAGGACAGAAGCTGGTGACGGGGCAGCCTCAGCATGGGGGAGCCAGATGCGAACATGTGACTAGGGCCGGCTTCCTCAGAGGGGGAGTGAACAGGAAGTAGGGCTCCTCCACCAGGGCTGGCTCCACACTGCGATGCCTGTCAGCCCACAGCCAGGTGTTTCATCTGGGCACCTTGTCAACACCAGGAGACGGCCCACGACTTGCTGTTCTAACCTCTGCAAGCCAACCTGTCTTTCATCTGCCTCAAGAAAAATGTCCCCTTTTCTTCCTTCCTTTTTCCCTCTATTGCAGTGCAGGGAATACTCTTTTTCAAATAAAAATCTGAAAATAGGAAAAACCAAGGCATTCACTCACAAAAGTTCTTTCTAGACTTAAATAACAACAAAACACTCTCTACAACATCTTTTAAGTACTTGCTGTTTATTTAGTAATTTGGAGAATTTCCCAAGTAGAAATAGTCATACTTCACCTTTGTAAAGTGATTCAGGCTCTTTGCACATGAAATACTGGGGACTCAGCTAACCCTGGAGTTAGGGGACGCTGCCCCCCGATGCCCAAGGAAGAGAAAACGTCCTCCTGAGTCTCTCCACTCAACTACATGCAGCCATCTCCTCCAGCCCAGTGGCCTCATGCCTAAGGCCACCTCCCCACAGAAACTGATTTCTTGTTCAGAGCTTTGACACAGACATTTCTCCACATCCTTCTAGGAGTGGGACAGAAAAATGTCAGAAGACTTCTATGAGGGCCGCCACTGGGCTCTTAAGATACTCCCAGGTGCATGTTCAGGCCCACAGGTGCGTGCACGGGTCCACAGGTGCAGAGCAGCTGCTCCCAGCATCACTCCACTCAAATGCCCCAGCTCCTTGGTCCTCAGAGAATGAGACTCGTTGTAGTGCAGGTTGTTTTCAGAAGCTACACTGGAAAACAAAGCCTAGGCAGAAGCAGGAGGCACCTGTGGAATAAGGACAACAGAAGGGACCAAGGGGGCCCTTGCTCAACACCTGAGAAACTGAGGCCTCAGGAGAACAGACCTAGTTACCTGGGAAACTGGTACCCTTTGCTGTTGTGTAACTGTTATTCCGTCTCCTAGGTTAGGAGAGGATGATTCTAATGGCATAGTAAATGTTTCTGGGAGTTTCTCCCAACTATTCCTACTTATTTTCTTTATAGGGAATTCAAACAAACAAACAATCCAAGTAAGTCAGCACTTTTCTTAAAATTCTGCCCCAAGTGATAACTATAAACAACTCTGTGCCAGGAAGATCTAAATATTATGTGACCGAAACGCTATTTGTCCAGTTAGCTTTCTGCCCTTTCCTTTTCCACACTGGGTCAGTATTTCAGGCCTTCTTTTTGTTTCCAGTGCCACTGTCCAGCATTAAACCTGGAATCTGCAGGTCTCATTTCTGGAAAGTTCATCAAGTTCTCAAGACCTCTTGCTCTGTACCATGGGCTACTCATGCAAATGTTATTTCCAACAAGGACACCGGTGAGATCACAACCTTGAAATGCGTTGCATTGCCTGGGAAATTAACTTCCAACCTTTGATAAGTCTGCAATTCTAATTGGTTGTCTTATTTAATAACGTGTTACCCAGGCAATATTTGTGGTGGCATCTGCTTGCTAAAAGGCGTGAGTGCTGTGAGCTTTCTTTATTTCTTAATTCACTTCTCCCACATTCACAGAAGTGAAATAAAACCTATGACTCTGGGATTTTCACTGATTGATGAGTTGATTCTTGGAACTTTTTAAAGAGTCTGTGAGTCTCTGTCTCACATACATTAATCAGAAAAAAAAAGTATTCTTTTGCTAGCTACAATCAAAGAAAATGACAATTGTGTTTATAACTCAATGCTAAATTTGAAAGTCAAGGCATAAGATGTCAGGTCTTCTAAATTTGAAGTAAGCCCTGAACTCCACTATGTCAAGGCATCTGATCCCAGTCCTATCCAGCTGCACTATCTCTGTCAGTTAACTAACTCCCTTTGCTCAACTTTACTATTAAAAAAAAAAAAGACTTTTGCAATATTTGCTTTTTCAATGTGACCTTAAGAAGAGCTTGTCACTGGTACCACTGCTGATTTGCAAGTATATTTTTGTTCAAAAATTTTCAGCTCTCTTATCTTAGGTAGCAGTTTTCCTCTGACCCCCCTCATTTCCAAATAATCTCATCTCTGGTTTCATGACTTTGGGATCTTTTTGAGAAAGTTTTTATTTATTTATTTTTATTTTGCAGGGTCTCTAAATGTTTTTTAAAGCAATAACGTCTTCATTTACTTTGGCCTCATCATGTGTAGATGAAGACTCTACTAAAGGTTCACCTGTCACAACTCCAATACTGTCCTGTTCACAAACCATCTATCCTGAGACTCTTTTAAATGGTAAAATTTGTTTGCAAACAAACAAGGAAACCATGTTATTTACAAACCACTAATTAAGAAAAAAAAAAAAAAACCCTATAAAGCATCAGGGAACTTTGAGCACTGTCTGGATACCTAACATTTAGGATAAGTTAGCACTTTTTCTGATGTGATAATAGTATTGCACTTATGGTTTATGAAGGTCCTTAGCAATCCTGGGCAAGCACTTAAGCCCTGGTGCCTCTCTCTTCACCTACAAAATGAGGCTGGCAATACCTACCTTCACAGGTCTGCTACAAAACAACAAAAAAAAAAATGCAAGACATCCACACTTGATGCCCAGTGCCCAGCACTTGGAGGAGCTCAGTCAGTGCAGGCTGAGCAACAGCAGGCCTCTGGGAAGGGCAAGCAGGCTTCAAGGGGGATGAGCTCTAGCAGGTGTCTGGTCTGGCTGCCTCGCCCCAAAGAAATCTCTTTTCTTATAGCTTAAAAAGAAGTGAGAAAATATCCCTCAATTTCTAAGAGGAACACATTTTGAGTATGATTCATTTGAAATTGACCAGTCAGTCTATCAACAACCACATTTCCTGAGCGTCAACRGTAGGTGGATTCACTCAGGCTACCAAGGATTTTTAAACTGAACTCTCACCCTACCATCAAGATGGGAAGAAAGGATTGTCAAGAGCTGAAAATACGTGAGCTGGAGAGAGACTGGCAGAAGTGGCCCAGGGACTGATGGACAATTCAGTGCTGACACTGGGGGCTGCAGACACAGCAACTGTTAGGAGGAGGGAGAACCACCAAGGCAGGCTTCTCTGACACTGAACAGAAATGGTGAGCAGGGCATGACAGAGAAAAAATGAGCACGCTGGGAGACGTGCTGCAGAGGAACGCCTGCTGAGACCAACCCCACCAAGGGCCCCACCAGCACGTTGCCTCCTGGCTGCCAGGAGAGGGCGGGGAGCCGGCCTTACCCAAGTCGTCTGTGATGAGGTGCTTCCCTTGAATGGAGTTCCGGCACTGATTGCTTGGCCGGCTGCTATTGCCCAAGTTGAACTGTACCTTCCACGGAATGGGTTGGTCGTGGTCCTGAACCTGGAGGAGATTCCGATCTCTCACTGCCCTCTCCTCCTGCAAAGAGACCATCAATGGAAAGGTTAAAGTATCTTTTCTTGTGATCTCACCAATTTTTCATAGAGACTGCAGCAAGAGGATATCATAAGAAGCTTGCCCTCCAGGAACCTGTACTCTGCTGGTAGAAACAACATCCGAGAAGGGTCATAAAATAGAATTGTAGGAAAAAAATCGTAAGGTTTTTTTTGCCTGTACCTGGCAGGTTTACCTGCAAGGTCCCAGAATGACATGCACATGACAAATGTGCAGAAGTGTTCATTTGCAGGGAAAAAGCTTTGAACTTTTTCTTTCTGATGGCCTGTCATTTTGAATTTTTTCATATTAAAAAAAAACCACGTGGAATAGAATGCAAAATTTGAATACTTTAGTGTAAACAGAAAAGGAAACATTTTTGTGACTGTCACCTCGGGCATAGCAGACACATCTGGAGCACAGGTCACTTTCATTTGCAGTGAGGGTATTTCAGAGACACAGTATGGGAAACTGAGTTGGGGCCGACAGAGGGTAAGATGAAGCTGTAATCTCAGGAGTTGACTGTGTGGGAATCCTGAGAATGTAACCCACAGCACCTCTACAGCAGACCAGAGGAGGAGCTGCCTGAGCAAGAGCTGACCCCCTGTCTCCTAGCCCTGAAGCCATGCTGGGCAGGGAGTTTGCTAAATCATTGAGGAGGAAGGTGCTCAAGTGCCAGAAAGCCTGCCAAGCAGGGGACAAACCACTGCAAAAGACTCTCTCCTGAAGGTCTTTATGTTCTTTAAACATTCACCGTTCAAACATTTCTAGTAGTAAATGCCATGTGAGTTCCGTGGCTTGAACCACTGTGATTGATCTGTTGTGGCAGGGCGCCCGCTGGTGAGCCCAGCTATGTGAGAAGCAGAGACAGGAGGAGCTTCTCGATCTTTTCTTTAAAAAGGAAGGGGTCTGCTGGGGATATGGTCAGTGTTAGAGTGCTGGCCTAGCATGTGAGAAGCCCCCGGTTTAATCTCCACATCGCCAAAGAAAATAGACCTGTCTTTTGTCACTTTTTAAGCAAAAAGGATTAACTTTGAAAATCTGATGGCAAGGGCTGGGGCTGGGGCTGAGCGGTAGCGCACTTGCCTAGCATGTGTGAGGCACTGGGTTCGATTCTCAGCACAGCTGTAAAAAAATAAAGGTCCATCAACATCTGAAAAAAATATTTTAAAAAATCTGATGGCAAAACTTACATAGTTTTTAAAAAATGAGAAACACCTTTGTAATTACTAAAATTTATTTAGAAAACTAATCTGCGAAGGACCATTAACATTTAAAACAAATATATATTAACAACTTGGCCCAGCAAACCCTTTTTTGAAGGCCACCTTATAGACAATGCCAATGTGTAAGGATGTACTGGGGTACTTACTACAGCATCGTTTAAAAGGTAGAAAAACCTAGAAGCTCAACAGAGAAGAACTAAGTATTAGTACAGACGTGGTCTTACAACAGGCTGCAATGGACTGACAGCTGTCTGGAGTAGGTCTCACCCGGACTCCCACATTCAATTTTGTACAGCTTAAAATGAATTCTGACTCTTGAGTCTACCAATACATGAGGAAAACACCTCTGTGGATGAGAACTGGCTATCAGTGTTCTTAAAAGTCCCAGATGATTTTCACAGGGTGCAGAGCACTGAGTGTCTACAGTATATTAAGCGAGAAAGTAAGTTGAAAATAGTGTGCACTGTGTCACACATTATATTCTGATAACAACTACAACATGTACATATAGGTTGGTAAGAACTGAGAAAAGCTTAGAAAGTCTACTCCCAATTATTGCCATGGAAGGAGATTGTGATTCTTAAAATTATCTTTAATCATTTTTGGAATAATCTTATTTTTAATTTAAGACGTGCTTGTGAATAATAGGAGAAATGAAGTGAAGAGCCTGCAGGAACTACACTGTCCTGGTGACTTTTCTGTACAGCTGTAATTATTTCAGACTAAAAGGTGGGTGTTTTTGTTTTTTTTTTTTAGAGGAGAGGGAGAGAGAGAGAAAGAGAGAGAGAAAGAGAGAGAGAGAGAGAGAGAGAGAGAGAGAGAGAGAATTTTTTAATATTTATTTTTTAGTTTTCAGTGGACACAATATATTTTATTTGTATGTGGTGCTGAGGATGGAACCCAGCGCCCCGTGCATCCCAGGCAAGCAGCTACCGCTTAAGCCACATCCCCAGACCTAAAAGGTGTTTTTAAAAATAATTATCAACATTAAAGACAGAAATTACCCACGATCCCATCACACAAATAAAACCCCATCTGTATCTGTACATGAACTTCTGGCCTCTAAACCCACTTGATGTCACAAATTAGGGTGCTTTGCATTCAGCTCTTCTTGACACTAATTGGATAGTAAAACATTTCCAAGCACCTACAGGATCTCTGATCATCTCATTTTCAAGTCTACATAACACCATCATGCTGATGTGCCCTGACTGAGTAAACACATCCTCGTAGACTAACATGAGAACACCCAGGGATTTTGCTATCCTAGATGGCTCTCAATAAAATGTGAGGATTTAAAAAACTGTTGAATAATTTTTAGTAGTAAATGCCATGCGATGCTGAATAACTCCTCAAAAATTCTATCTACCGTGTGTAATACCACCAGCATTTAAATGCCACTAATTATGATTTGGCCACAACTCCACCAGGACCATTTCTGTTCTTTAATTTACTATGTAAATGGTATTTCAAGGTGGCTTTTTGTTTTAAAAGGAAAAAGTGGCACCAGCCTGCACATGGCAGGTTGTACAAGAACAGGTGTATTTGCTGGTAAGTGGGAGATGAGGAGGGAAGTGCAGGAGTCTTGGGAACTGGGACAAATCATTTAGGTGCATCCTGCTTAACTACCTGTGAATTCACACCCCGCTGCTCTACTGGGACACAGGAGCTAACTGCATCATCAAGCTGTGTGCACATTAACCTGAGCTGCAAATGCCACCCTGGATAAATTAATAGCTATAAAGACTATTAAGGGGCCAGTCAGAGTGCAGTAAACTGGCTGTTACGACAAGGTTAAAAGTGTCCTTAACATTATTCCCAAGCTATCCTGTTATTTGTCTTGAAAGAAACAAGAGTTCATGGCCAAGTGATCTCAGATGGCTCTCTGCCACAGAACAATATCCTGGTAAACAGGAAAGCAATTCTCCCAGCGCTTGAACTTGTTTTCAAACATGAATATTCAAGACCCTGCCAAAGAATTGTGTGGGGAGGGCGGAGATGGCATAAGGTAATGACGTGGCCCCAGTTCCTTTTCTGATGGCCCAGTCTTGCAAAGGGCAGGGGGATGGAGCACTGAGGACTTTCTTCCTTCAGATGGGAGTTTAAACTTTTCTCAAACTGTTCCCCAACCTTACAGGTGGTCTCAGCTTAAAGCACTTCACCAAATATGTGTATTTTTTTCATTCAAGATTCAGTCAAAGGTATGGACTTCCACAAAGTACAAAGACTACAAGGACAAAGGTGACCAGGTGCTCCAGTCTCAAAAACCTTCTTGAAGCTGCTGGCAAGGAGGTCTGCACCCAAATCAGTGCAACAGACCACTGCAGACAGGCTGAAGATGTCCCGTGGTACACCAGGGCACCAAGGAAAGGGCAGGAACAAAAAGGAACAAAGACACACGAGAACTTTCTTTTAGAATTGTAAGGAGTGCAGAAATGTCTTCATTGCTAATGAGTGTCACTTTGCCTTGGATTTTCAAAAGGTGTATTAATAACTGTGCTGGGCATGTTTCAGGGGTTGTTATAAAGGTCAAATGAAATAGTGTCCCACGTGGGTGAGAAAGCACTTAAACACAAGGCACTGTTGCCATTAAGAGATCTGCCTGAGTGTCTGGAAACTGGGAAGGAGGAAAGCCCAAGAACTTCCCAAATGCCTAATATTTGGGAGTTGCAGCCAATAATGAAAAATCAAAGTTATTAAAAATTTAAAAGAGCTTTTTACAAGATGAAGAAAATGCTTATATGCTGTGAAGAAACAGTAGGCTTCAATTAAACACAGAGAAAGTATGAAAAATGACAGGAAGAAAATAAACAGGGGACCCCTCTGGTTGGTGAGATTACTGGTAACTGTTCCCTCTGCTGGCYGGTGAGGCCCTTTGTGTATCTTGGCGATCAGTGAAAATGCAAAACAAAGCCAGATAACCAACACAATCTTAGGATTTACTGCACTTCACTTCAGATAGCATCTAAGATGGCTCCAATTCACAGACCTAACTGCTTTAAAGCCAAAGACTTAATGTGTTTTCAAGGAGCTAGGCAAATAATCCCTTGAACTATAGGAGCTACCGCATGGAACCAGCAGGGAACACTGCCTGAGAGGACCTAAGGACCCTCTGGCCAGCACTGGGATTCCCTGACCTCAGGCCCAAAGCCCTGGAGTCATCATCTCTCACCCTTTGACTTCCTGTCTTTCCTTCTCCCAGCCCGTGACATCTGACATCTGCCTGCCCGTGCGCCTTCTCCAATGTGCGCCATCTCCAACACACAGCAGCACATGCCCAGAGGGGCACAGTGGTGCTCAGGAAAACTTTGTTAAAGAACACGCCAAGTTACCTGGCACCACTTGCCACCCCCAACCATGTGCCCCAATGGCATCCACACCACCCTCACTAGTCTCTCCTGTGTTCCCATCTGTAAAAACTTAAATTATCCCCCAAAGCATTAATTAACATGAAAACCAAAGAAAAGAGGGATCCAAGAAGCAGAAGCTAATGACTACCTCTGGACCAAGCACCGCCCTGCTGCATCTGCTGTCTCCCATCTCCCCAAGCAAAGCAGAGGATCCCGCAGAGCTCCCAGTCTCCAGGCTTCTTCTCAATTAATGGCAAACACCTTCCTCCCCCAGCCCCGAACTCCAGCTCTCCAGCCCCATTTTGCAGATGGAGAACCTGGAGAGGGCGGCCAGGTGAGGGGAGCACACTGGCTTCCAGGGACATCCCCGCAGACTGGCAGACGCCAGTTGAAGTTGGTCGCAGCACCA